AATTTGTGAGATTTATATATACCATGGAATTGACTGATACCAGAGTAACTTCCTTCTATATAGCAACACAGGTTTACAATGTAGATAATGAACAGTAATCGATCTGAAATAATCTACAAATAATACAAATCTGTGAACGGGGCATAGAGCACGCACCCTCGGAAACGGGATATAAAACAAACAATTTATGAGTTACGTTTGTTTTCATTTATGTAACTGGTATGCTTATTAAATATATGAAATAAAATTTCATAATACAAATGTACAATTGAAGCAATGAAACAAAAATTGAAACATGAACAATATCATATTTTTACCTTATAATTTTAAATGTATTCATATGCTGAAATCTTTCTTTGAGAAAAAATATTTTCAAAAACATTTATATACATATTTTTCAAATAAACTTAACTTGTTTTTATTGTAAACATACATTTGAAACTTTGCTATTTTAAGAGTCATAAATATGTGAAATTTACGGATGACAATCAAATTGCTACTCGATTAACCACAATTCTTTCCAACCGGTCAGTCGTATCAAAATACAGATTTTCTTGACATTTTGTTTTCAAGTAAGCTCTACACTGTATGCATATATATAGATAGACTAAAAGACGTTATAAGATCGAAACATTGTGTTCATGCTTGATTAAATTATTTTAATTTCAATAGACAAGAAAAAATTGAAGATAAAAAGCATGAAACATGTCTGAGAAATCTTTTTCAGAGCGGTTGTCACACATGTTCATTCTGCATTGTCACCATATCAGAACTAAGTCTGAACGATCAGTCAATTTACAATGTTTGTTTAATAAAATGCTTTTGTATAAAACCTAAATAATAATAATTGGGCTAAGATGCTCATTATATTAAATCACAGTACTCAATGGTGTTTTTATTTATATCATGATTTTATTAAAACAAAATAAAGGGCAGGCTGGATAGCAACATGGTAGTTAGTAGTTACAGTAATAAACACTTCACAAACTGACTAATTACATGTAAACCCACTCACCTGATCTCAGTTCGGAGAGCCATAATTACCTCCAAATCAACTTAAATAGAAACAAGAAAACGCTTACTTATTTACGTTTATGCATACTTAATATTTTCAAAATTAAAGTTTAAGAAAATTGCGTTCAAATTCACACACACACACACACACACACACACACACACACACACACACACACATTAATCGGTAGTGTATATGTATATATACTTTGGCTTATCAGTTACAGATTTCCAAATCGATTATGATCATATACAACTGAGTAATTAGCTGAAGGGTTACAAATTGCCACCCGTAGTTAAATTACATCTCTATATGAAAGAGTTTTTCAGGTTTCATCATGAACTTGTTAGGAACTTACATTTGTTTTCAACATTTTTACGTAAAATTTTGTTGCTGCGTACTTTATTTGTCTCAATTCAAAAGATATTATTTTTGAAATTATCCTTTACTAATTTTTTGATGCTGCAGTGACAGTAATTTCTAGTACTGAATATGACGTCCATCATCTACGACAGTATTTTTTCCATTGATTTATGATGCTTTTTCAGAGGCCAAAAAAGAAACTACCGACGCTACATCTTCCTGTCCACCGATCCGCCCAGAAAGGTTCTCTTTTGCCCTTGTATCAATAAACTGGAACACAGGATATATTGAATGCATGCATTAAAGTATTCCTTGTATTTCAGTGTCAGACTTCAGTAAAACAAAAAGATATAATTGTATAATAAATAGAGTGTTTTACATTAATATCTTATTATTATATACTTTCTTCATCAGAAAGACTGTATATTAGATGTTGTAGAATAAATATTTCCAGTTACTCGTATGTAGACAATTTCAAATTAATAATCTTGCTTTAAGTATTTTGCATGCTTCGTATTTATGTCACTTACACAATCACTGAATTGTACAATATTTAATGCTTTTGATTGATGAATACATTTCATTTATTTTATAATCTTTCCCGTGGCAGAGAGTTATTATATTCGGTATGGAATAATGGGAGTAGGCATTGTTAAACTTAAAAGTGAAATGAATTCCGTTTGCCCGATCATGATCAGGAGCATACAGCGGGTTTAACCAATCGACAGGGGATGCTTTCTCCTCCATGGCACCTAATCCCACTTCTGCTCCCAATTTTTACCGGCCGCCAGGAGGCGGTCGGTTATTTGATATGAAATTAAAGTTTGAAGTAGTCGTGCGGTTCTGCGGAGTTAGAAAGATATAAAATATAATAATGAAGAGTGTCTAAATGTTTCACAAAAACGCATAATAATTATAAAATTTAAACTGAATAAAATGATTGGGGTAAATGTTTTATCTGATCGAATCGTGATTGACGAACTCTGAAGTGCGGAGAATATTAGCACACATGTTGGGCATTATCTAAAGGAAAGACCAAGATATCTATACATATATAACCAATATTTCTTTCTCTATTTAAACTGGATTTATTGTATTTGTTTTAAAATGACGTAAAGATGTACATTTCCTATGTTAAATTTTTAAAAATATGATAAAATTTGAATTTCTTAAAAGACAGAATTTTACGAGATATTTGCTCCAGCAGACGAGGATAACGCGCATTTTACAATGTGCCAAGCATTTTCCCGCCACAACTCAACACCAAAACAAAGAAACTGTAGTGGCGGATGTAGAAGGGGTTGTGGGGGTTTCAACACCCTCCTTTGGATTTGCTTGAGAGAGAGAGAGAGAGAGAGGAGTCCCAAATATTTGTGATGAAAATTAGGTTGTTCCTGAAAAATGAAATCCGCGCCTGCAATGTCACAAGCACTGTTTTATTTCACCGGGATAGATTAACAGATTATTAAATATCAGATATATTAACAGATCACGCATTCCAGTTTTCATTAAAGGAACATTTGGTTTGCGGCCGATTTTGACGCTTGCGTCAATATGTTTCTTGTTACTGTTTCAATGGACGTTTAGCTTGATTACTGTTCGTTATCTACATATTTCAATTCTTATTTCAAAATGCATGTACGATTTAAAATAATAATTTCAATAAAACGTGTATGCAATTAGCTATAGATAAATATTGATAATTTTCTTTTTTATATTTTAGATTTTGAGATAAATGATTCGTCACAATATATAACCTTATTGTATGATTCTTCATCTCCTAAACCAGGAACGTTATCACGTCTCAGAAAATTGCTTCGTATGAGTCCAGGCCTGTTAATGATAATGAAAGTGCAAAGACTGAATATGAACAAATAGATTCTTTTGATATGCATTATAAGGTTATTTATTTGTTACATCATTTTATATATATAGGATCTCCCATGATTTGTAGTTGGATATGATTTTTATCCAAAAAAGTTGTGTGTTTTTTTTAAAAACACACAACGAGTTGGATAAAAGTCATATCCAACTACAAATCATGGAAGATTCTTTTTATCCCATGTTTAATACTTCACAACCAATGTTTTACACTGTTTCATATGGGACTCAACTTTATTTTACTTCATCACTCTAACGCAAAAACCATTGTGACGTCACAACTGCACTTAACTGTGGAATAGGAAAAAATTATCCAATGAGTCATATCCACGGGATAAAGGGGTAAACATGGGATAAAAAAGTTGTTTCCACATTTTCACACAGGAATATATTTCATATGTTTAAATATACCTTATAGTATTTGCTCGCACTCCAAACGGCGCTAACTCTGAACCGGCAGAGTAATAGTGTCAGTTGTACTGTAAATATTATAATGTAATAGAACTATTTGTATTGATATTTGCCCATTGATCGTTGTCTTGATCGTTTGTACATACCACAGTATTAACAGTTTAGAAGATAGGGACAGATTTTTATGGATATGAATGAATAAACTCAAGCAGATTTCTTCTTGTTAACAGTTTATTACCGTCTTCCTTGGAAGAACCGTTCACGGTAGCCCAGTCAGTAGAGCGCTCGCTCCGTGATCGGGAGGTCTTGAGCTCGAATCTCGGCCGCGACTGACCTAAGTCGATAAAAAAGGGGAAGCAACTGTTCCTTCGCCATGCGCTCGGCACTTTGAAGTGAAAGTTGTGGGTCCTTCGGAAGAGACCTTAAAAAACGAGGCCCCGTGTCGCGGCGGACGTTGGCACGATAAAGATCCCTCACTGTTCAATGGCCCTGAGTGCCGAGTAAAGGTCAAAATTTGAAGCCCTTCACCGGTATATAGTGACGTCTCTATATGAGTGAAAAATTCTCGAATGGGACGTAAAACAACATATAATCAATCAATCAATCTTCCTTGGAAGACGGTATACAGAGTTGAAGTATTTTACAGTCTTCGGACTGTGCACTTCCTCTCTTTAATTTGTGATTGGTAGAAATTACATGATGTGAAAATTTCCAATTATGTCATTGGTTAAAATGCTGTTTTGGGCAAGGGAGATAATTTTCTAATGATAAAATTTTCGTACGACTAAACAATTTTTCAAGATTTTCAATCTTTAAAAAAAATGACAAAACGAACAGTTGAAAAATGGCCCTAAATAAATCTAAATAACAATTTTTTTTTTTTTTTTTTTTTTTTTTTTTTTTTTTTTTTACTAAAAGGCGTTTTTTATATTTTCGTTGTAAACAGAAATGTTCTTTATTGTTTGTCAGATTTTCAGCTTGTATTTATTCTAAGACAGTTTCTTTGTTTTGCACTGTCCTTCTAATCCCTCTCTTTCTCCGTAAACCCCGACCAGCATCAGAGTCGAAGTTTACGGAAAAAGCCGAACGTCTGGTTGAACTTTAACATGGTAAGGCTAATGTTAGTAAAAGTTGATGAAGGAATGCCCAAAAATAATGCGGCCTGATAGGTGTATGTCAGTTTACTGTTTAAAGCTGTTGCTAAAGACGGCCAAGCTTTTTGAAGAAGCTCTACTTGTTTCACTCTTAACATCGTTACAGTGAAGTAGGTGAAGAGATGAGTTAATTCGTACCGTGTGCTAAGTAGGTGAAGAAATTAGTTAATTCGTACCATGTTCTAATCCTCGAGTGAAGGCATCCATGGCTGCCTTGGACATGGAATAAGAACAATTTCCAGGGATCTACACGAAAGGAAATGAGTGATTTCTGTACTTTGTACGCTGCGTAACAACGTATTGTCCAATTTCTAATTTGGCTTCATTAAAATGACCAACAATACCTTCGATGTGACAGTAGACAATACACTTGATATATTGATGATGCAACCTGAAAGGAATGAAAAAAAGAAATTAGAAAATCTTTGAGCTACGATACATCAAGCATAAAGTAACTCAATGTGCGTAGATAAAGACATTTTAGTCAGAATTACAGGCTCCGGGGCCCTTAAACATAGACGAGCTCACTTTTGATCTCAGTCCTACTTTTACCGGGATATATAGTGGAAAGGTAAGACTGAGATCAAAAGTGAGCTTGTCTAAGTTTTATAGCATCAGGGCCTGGACAAAAGTTAAGTCAGACTAAGTTTTTTATAACGTTAGATGTGTATATTTTCCTTTTCTTTAACCATTCCCATCGAGACAATTACATTGATAACCCTGCTAGAGGGTGTCCTAAGAAACGAATAGTACATATTGTGACGCCTTGCTATTGATTACCGTAAAAAGCGAAGTGCCCCTTACTAATTGAGGTGTGTGGCATATGATTGTTAGATGCTTGTCTGACATTTTTCATTGAAACAATGATAAAACTTGTAACAGACTAGTACATTACCAAAATACTTATTTTGATGGGTTTTTTTTTTCAAAAACATTCTTTCAATGGGTTTGAAAAATAAAACAACTTCTATAATTTTTTTTACGGAAACTTAGTGTTGAAATATGAAAGAATTCATGTAAGTAAACATTGTATTGCGTGGGTATTGTGCATTTAACTTGAAGATCTACTTTTCATTCTCAAACTGTAAAAATATCAATTTTATTCGACAGATAAAGTACAGTAAATCACTCTCGAAAATATTAAATATATCTATGGCAACTGACCTTGTCTGACGATAAACCCTCCTTCAAACATTTATCTTTCACAGTCTCTAGATTACTTAGTAGCCTTATTCCTTCCAGTCAAGGACAGCCCTGCCCCGCTCTTGGCGAGATAGACAGCGATGCCTTCACAAATACCGGAACTGGACCCTGTGGTACATTTTGATTAATGATAATATTTAATTATTTATAGAAATACATTTGTCTAATGTTGTAATACCGGTACTAGTACTTCTAACCTGTGATAAGAAACACTCTTTCCTTATGTTCATCCATGGATCAGATATCATCGAGTAACACATGACCTATAAAGTAATGTGCATTTATAACGCAGAGTACATTTTCTTTAATACAGGTGGAGAAATAATTTAAGGTTCATAAACCCTCTGCTCCCGCATATAAAATGTTTCTTTAACTCTTAAGATTTTGGAAAAGAAATGTACTTGTTAAGTAAAATACAAACAATTATAGCCCAGCTTGCGGGGCAAAATTGGACGATAAAAACATTTTAACTTGACATATTTTTAGAGGAATAATAGACATTTATGTCATGAAGAGTTATCTCTCTTATCAGAGTATCAATGAGCCTTAAATAATTCCCATCGAGAACCAAAACTTTGAGAAAGATATCTCATCCTTTGTACATGATGTATGAATGAAATTTAGGCAAAGAATAACCCCCTTTAATTTTGGGCAACATGATTTTATAATTAGGGAGAAGTCTAAAATAGGCTTTGCCTGCTGCCCAATCCCATTCACTTTTTGTGAATAAAATTATGTATAAATAATAATTTTATAATTGTTTAGAGCTGATCTAGTTTTAGGATGCATATTAAGTATTTTACTTTTGGTGATTATATTTCGTTTTGATAAAGGTATGCGCACTTATACTAATCATAAACAGGCGAAGCCCTCGGAAGCTACAGGATTCTAGAGATTTTCTAGGGTAAAAAAGAGGTCTACCGAGTAGACCTTTTTATATTTTCTTGACGAAATTATGATTTACGTACTTTGACAATTTTAAGGGGGGGGGGGGCGCCCCCATTAAATCCGCCACTGATAAAAGAACATGTAGTTAAAGATTAGTAGCTCATTAAAACACAAAGATAACTTAATAGATTTGTGTATCAATAATCAACAAATAGACCGACACTTAAACTCTCATATTCAGTAAAGAATTTTACAATTGTAGACAAGGCTACCTGTAGATCATAATAAATTAATATTAAGTATGTCCCTAAAGACGCCAGTATCAGCCTAACGATGTCTTCTGTACTTGTCAATGTACTTGAGTGACTTAAAACAGTCTAGGGATGATATCGATACCACACTCTTACCGTACAGCTTGGGACAGTTGTTGCAAAGTCTAGGTTTATGGTTGTCTTTTGCACATAGGCCTATCCAATTCGTCCCATACATCCTCAGTGTAAATCAGATGAATTAGATACTGTAAGTCGTTTTAATTCCACGGTGTTAAAATTTCACGATTTCTCAAAATGTACCAATCGCGATGGTTTTAATTTAACTCTGCAAGAAATTAATTTGAATATCGTATAAGCATTTAAACGTTTTTTTTTTAAAAAACTAATGATAGCATTTACTACGGGTTTAATTTCGCGGAAAAAATGACGAATCGCGAACACAGTGAAATTAAAACCATCGTGATTATTTACCAATGTACAGTAACAAAGACTGAACGAAATGCTCTGAGTTTGCAGAAGTCAGTCGAGCCTTACGTTGCTTTGCATTGTAATGTTAACTTATGAAGTATATTGCTTAAGAGTAGTGACAGTTTTTTTAATGAAATACGACAAAAGTAAAACATTACATTTTCATGACATGAAAACATGCATCATATATAACAGAAAAAAACACTTCAATCGAAATAAATTGACAGGATTTTTACAAAATACTTTAAGATATTGTATATATTTTTGTTGGAAGGATCAGGTTATATTAGAGTACAGTATCAAAAAACCCAAAGAATCAGACTTTCTGATTAACAAAGTAGTCAGAAAATATAAAGTTATCTGCTGCTTTCACAGTGTTCACTCCAATTCCTTGCATAATAACTAAACGAAACACTAAGAAATATTTCGTAGCACAACGTCATAATAGATGTCCTCTTACATCTTAGAGAACAAAAAAAAAAAAATCATTGCACATGGGTTATGAAACATACAGCGGTAATGGTGTTGAACATAGATGACCATGGCCAGAAGTCATGGACTTGTAAAATCAGTAAGTTAAAATGACCATCAAAGCCAATAAACGAACTTTCCTCCGATAATTGCATTCTTCTAAAGTGTAGCTGTCCTTAATAGTCCATACATTTCCTTTAAAAAATTGTCGTTATTTCATAACTTATTTAGTTTACCAACATATTCTTCGTTCAATATCTCCATTGCTTACAAACTTTTCAATTACAAAAAAAAAATAAAATAAATAAAGACAAAAAGAAAACAAAAAAAAAAAAAAAAAAAAAAACCAGAAAAAAACCTTTACAGTGTTTATATATCAAACATCTGAAACATGATCCTCCTACGCATTCAGGTTCTTCTTCTTCCTAAACCTATAGTCCTCCAGGACACGTCATTACTGGTTACGTGGATATACCTGACAATGAGAACTTTATGTCGCTTATTTCAAAATAAGGGAACCCCGATCTTTCGACTGGAGACAAAAATTCATAAATATAATGAGCTTTATCAAATATTATGCAAGACGATGGGTCAATTTTAAAAAGAAGACCTTAAAGCTTGTCACTTTGTCTGAATGGATTGAAAGTATAAGATGATGTTGAAATTTTGTTTTAAACCGTTGGGGACTATATGTAAACAATATATTCTTCTGGCTTCCATAATTGATTCAAAAGTGTAAATAAAAAAATAATTTGATAGATTACATGACCAATACGTACTGGTCCGAGCTAGCAAAGTAGGTAACACTATACAGTTAAAGTATATCATTGAGGGAATTAGCATGATCCTAGTTCCCCAAGGCCAGGATTTTGTCCTGAGGTCTAGGAAATAGTCCTGGTCGAGGGAACTGGAATCTTGCTTATCACTAAATGATATACCTTTATTTGTTTTATTACACCGATAAAAAAGTAAAATTTAGAGGATAACGGATAACCGATAATAAGCTTTCGAGGCAGGAATTAGCTCACCTGACTAACGCACAGGGATTAATCCATACAGGGGGTTTTAAGGAATTATACACATTTATCGATCTTATTTTTTTTTATAGGGAAAAATCAGTAGAGGTATAATAACATACACTATGTATGTAAGGATTATAATTACTCCTGTTTTTAAGAAGAAATTGGATTTAAATCTACTAGTAGTAATCCAACTTGTACATTGTTCTCAAAGCTCCCTCTCTAAAGATATTCCTCAAAATCATTTGTCCGTTTTAAATAGTTTTATTATTCCTAAATTGAATCTGAATTATCATACCTGTACTTTATTCCTAAACGTCATAAATATCCTTTAATAATTCAGAAGTGCAAAAGGAATAAGATAGATTAAACGATCAGTATGTACTTATCCCAGCTGACAAAGCTGGTAACAACGTCGTCTTAATATTTGTAAGGCTCATTATTTGAATTGTATTTTAGAGGTACTATTGGAACGGGTGGAATTCCAATTATACCCATACCTCCCTTTCTAAGGGCGAAAATCTTCAAAATCATATGTTCGTTTTAGATAATTTTAATATTCCCAACAATCAAAATGAATTTGAATTACCATAACTCTACTGGATTCCTAAACTTCATAAAAATCATTACAAAGATACATAGCGGGTTTAGTAAATGCTCTACCAAGCCTCTTTCTTTACTCATCACGAAAACATTAACAGCAGTGAAGCAGAAACTTCAGGAGTGCTGTACAACATTTTCGAGAAGTGGTGTTAATCAGAGGTGGATACTTAAAAATTCCAGTCAGTACTTTACGAATAACTGAAATCACAAAACTTAACCTAAATCATAGTATCAAAACGTACGACTTCTCAAAACCTTATACAACCATTTCCACGTAAATTGAGTACCATTAGTTCCTTCACAAAAATTCTTACGACAAAGATTAAAATTTGACGACTCTGTAATTTCTTTGTTTAATAAAAAATAATTATTATTTGAGAAGAATAATTCACAATATACTGAAATGTAATAGAAATAGAAGATTATTTGTAACCTACTACAAATTAGGTACATACGGAAGAATTGGAAAAT